TCCATTAGAAACACTCTACTTGAGACACTGTTTATTGAAAGATACAGTTTGCAAAATTAGACAGTAGTCATTTTTTTCTGGTGTTAGCATTCATCACTCACTAGAGCTTATGAAAGATGTGTGATCATTTTTCTTCTTTTTGCTACTATTAACTTTTTCTGATTAGCACAATTCTAGATTTAATCAAACACTTTGATGACTCTACATATCTACTTTGAAATAACTATAAATAGTGCATTAAAAGAGATAAACTCCAAATCCCAGTTCTTCAAGCAAGGTACATATAGCCTGATCCCTAGTATGTAGAGGGCCATTCTATATGATTTTTTTGGGAAAAATTATTTCATAATTAAAGAGTAATTAGGGCTTGTCTGAGGCCTAGGGTCTTGCCATGCGAGCAGGCTCTGGTATGTGGAAACATCTCCCTGTGCCTCGGGTCTCAGCTGAGGCCTCAACAGTCCTGTGATGTTGTGTTGCTTCAGGGCAAGATTATGTCAGTTGAAGATGTCTTAGTTCTTTGAGAACCAAGCAGTAATAAATGGCCAGGGATATGGCTCAGCGGCACAAGAGCCTGCCTGGCAAGTGTGAGGTTGTGCCTGACACCAAAAAAAAAAAACAAAACCCCCCAAAAACCCCCAAAAAACCCAAACCAAGTAGTAACAAAAAAAATCCTGGGATAAAGGATTAAACTTCTTACTAACCTGTCATCTCTCCCACCATCCTCCTCAACATAAAATCTTCATTAGTTTAAAGTCACGCTGCCCTCTGAGTCATTCAAAGTGGTCCTCATCAAGGTGAGATCCTTCTCAGCATAAGATCACACTGCCTTCTTAAATCATCTGATAATCCCCTCACCATTTTCCTCAGTGTAAATGTGGTCAATAAACACCAAGGTTCTGGCTGCCACGTGGTCTTTTTGTTCCCCATGAACAACTGACCATCCCAGATCCCCGTTGCATCACCATTTTGTCTCTTGCTGTTTCTTTTTATATCTATGGGCTGTAATACCTTGCAGGAGATTGGGGTCCCTTGCAGGGGTCCCGATGCTAGCACAGTAAGTTTTTAAAAAATGATATGAAAATTGAAGTATTATTATATCTGTGGGTTACACGTATAAATGGATAAATATAGTAAATAAATGAATCATGTGTTGATATTGCTTAATTTATTCTTAAAACATAATAATAGCGAGGATTACATTTATTATAACAATAAAATCACTGTAAATTTTTTTATTTTTCTTTTTAAGCTGGATATGTGGAATAGCTATGTATATATCTACAATGTATATAAATATGAATATATAATTATTACTTTTTAAATTGTAATGCTGCATCATGAATACCAGGCCGTAGATTATTTTCTTTTATATAGAAATAACACTTCCAGGGCTGGGGATTTAGCTCAGCGGCACAGTGCCTGCCTGGCAAGTGCAAGGTCTTGAGTTCAATTCCTGGTACCGGAAACCGCCCCCCCTAAAAGAAATAACACTTCCAAGTTCCTAAGAAAAATAATAGCAAAGGGGAAATATTTTGGGACAGGTGACTGATAAAAATATAGATGGCTAATAACATGAGAATGGTCAGTTTCACTCATAATTTATAAAATGAAGATTAAAACAACAAAGAGGTAGTATTTTTCACCTATTAGATTGAAGCTGTTTCTGAGTAGGGTAGTGTATATGGTGGAGGCCTGCAGGCAAGCAGATACTCACATACTCTGCTTAGAGAGGCATGGAATCTGGTATCAGTGATGAGTGGGGGACAGATTGGCAGCAATATCTATTCAAATTAAAAATGCATTGACCTTGACCTAATAGTGGTGTTTCTAGAAATTTGTCCTCCACATCTACTTATAAAAATGAGCATATCTATATGCAAAAATATGTAAAACATAAAAATAAACAAGAATCATGTTACTGTCTTGCAATAGGGCAAAGGCCGAATGTACACAGCTACTAGAGATCATGTGGTAGGTCTATGTGTTATGTTCTTTACAGTAAGTGAAAAAGCAATGTGCAGAGGAATATTGTAGTGTGCTGTTCTTGGGTTTGAAAAAGAATAGGCTTAGAATCTTGAAACACTGGCAAGAACTTGATAAAGATAGTGATTATTTCTGGGGAAAAATAGAAAGCTTTGGGAAAGAGGGAATGATTTACTTTTCTTTTTTTTTTGGTTTTTCTCCAGTACCGGGAACTGAACTCACGACCTTGCACTTGCCAGGCAGGCGCTTTGCCACTGAGCTAAATCCCCAGCCCCTTTACTTTTCATTTTATACTTATTTCTATCTTGAAAAAATTTTTAGTTAGCTGTGTTTGCTTTAAATGTAACGTCCAAGAGAAATCCAACTAAAAATGCAAATGGCAGGGGGAAGCAACTATAAAGGGAGAAGCGGGAATCAGCAGCCCTACAAGAATTGAGGATTGACTAGTCAGATGTGAAACCCGATTCTTATTAATTAAATAGTTTATATATTTGCTGCTTGAATTTTTCAGAATTAAAAATAAAAATTTATAAACAAGTTTCTCTAAAAATATTTGATATAGGGATGATTTAGGATCTCCAAATAATCCAAATAATATAAGGGAAATATGGTAACTCCTAACCTGCTAGATGTCTGATGTGCTGAGTTTGTGTTCCCCAAAGTTGAGCGAATTCTAAGGAACAATGGCGGTTAAGAGTATGATGTCTTTATTGAGGGAAAGGGAGCTTCTGTCTAAGGGAGACAGGAGGAGACCTGGTAAGTGAGTTGGCCATCCATTTTCTCAAAGGAAATTCTATACAGTAAAATCACAAGGTAGGTATAAAGTCATGAGGTGGGTATAAGGGACAAAACTATGATCAACCAATAAGATTACAAGTACAGATATTTAGGCAATATGGATCCAATGGGGAAGCAAGTCATGCAGCAAGTTGTGCATGGAAAGAACAAGAACTTTTCCTGGAAAGGATGGGTCAAGGTCCTGGTCCCTCACCCAGGTGACTGATGGTTATTTAGTATATCAATCACTGCTGTTTATCCCTAGTGGAACTATGGAGGTATAGACATTCTATGTCTTTGTCTTGAGGTCTGGCCTTCAACAAATGCACATCTACCCACAGTTGTACTGTTTAGGGGGCCCATCCCTGTCTGACTGTTATACTTCTAACTAACTTAGCTGTCTATAATATTTTGTTACAAATAAAATTTATAATGCTAATACTTTCTGGTTTCTTTTTTTTTTTTTGTACTGGGAATTGAACTCACAACCTCATGCTTGCCAGGCAGGCAAGCTATATCCCCGGCCCCTCTGATTTCTTAAATGATTGGAAAATAGTTTAAAAAAGAAAATGGTCATATAATTTTGTCCTAACATTTACTTTGTTCCAAGTAAGGTGCTAAGATATTATTATTATTTTTTTTTAGTGGATAAAGTATAGCTTGTTTTTTCAATGAAATATTATGTAGACTACAAAGAAAGAAAATCCTTTCATTTGTGAAAATAAAGATGAACAAGGAGATCTTTAAGGAAAATATGTCAGAGACAAATTAAACTTGGAGCTTGGTCATGTTTAGAGTCTAAAGCTGTCAACCCTGCAGCATTATGGAGCACAATGATGGCTGTCCCCTGAGAGCTGGTGAAATTGAGAGATGTTAATTGAGGCCTGCGGTTTCTTTTGTGCTCTACAAAACACCTACAGATCACCTGGTGATTACAGTGATTGATGCAGTGTCTCCTATGCAGTTGCTATTTGCTAAGAAAGTTATTTTTAGAGTTTTTCCCCCCCACATATTTGAAAGGTGAATGTGTTTAGTGATAATATGTTAGCTAGAGGAATTGCAATCATTTCACAATATGATCATATATGAAAACAATTCATTATATACATTAAATATGTTTTATTTGGTATATTACACTAAATGAGATTAATAAACAATTTTAGCTTGAGCAAAGTTAACAAGATTATGGCTCTATTATGTGTCATAGATTCTCCCTTTTACTGCATTTTTAACAGATATTTTTCATATACAGTAGTATTTCATTTGGCCCTCACAACGTACCTATGAGCCAAGTGGGTTTTTTTTTTTTTTTTTTTTT